GAGATGGAGATGGAGATGGAGATGGAATAAACCGGGTATTTTATGTGCAAATGCTCTAAAAAGGGAAAAAATCAAAGGTTTTGTCCGATCAAATGAATACACTATTTTCACTTGAATGCAAGAAAATAAGATCATAAAGACTGACAATTATAATTTTATAATAGTAGTTTTATTATAATAGTCATGATTGGGATACAAGAAACGTAGTATGTGGCTACAATAACAGCAGATGGCTACAAAGTCGTAGTTGGAGGTTATAACAGATGTAATTAAAAAAAAATAAATATAGTTGGTGGATACAACAATCATAGTTTGTTGTAAAATCTACTAGTGGTGGTTATAATAGACATAATTGGTTGCACTTCTCATCAGGAGTAATACTTTAGTTGTAAGCCCACTCTTCTTTTCTCCCCTTCAAGTAAAGAATGAGTCTATTAATAATTTTTGAGAGAGTCGTATTGGTAAATTTTTGATAGAGTTGTTTTGATAACACATTAATTGCCCTCCTATTTTCTGACATTAATGCTTGTGTCATCCAAAAATATAAATCATCAAGAAAATCTTCATCATAATTTATACATATTTTAAAAATTTGTATGTTGATTAGAACGAGAATCTTTAACATTTTAAATTATTTAAGTTTAGTCACAGCTGCTTCATGAAATTTTGAAACTACGAAGTTCGAGTCTAGAATGTTAAAAAATGATGTGAGAGGATCTTTTTCTTAAAAAATACTTGAACTTATTGTCATTGCTACTATTAGCAACGCTTGTACATGTCAAGATGCACGTGTGTGTGTGTCTGCCTAACTGCGAGGAAATGAGTACAACAATTTTTATGAGGACGTAGCAAGGTTTGCAGGCAAGTACAAGCTTACAAGGGGTCTAGTGGCATGTGCGGAGGTGCTTGTGGTGTGGCAATATGCATGCGGGAGCATGTGGGTGTGCGTGAGAGTAGGTGCATACGAGTGGGTGTAATTGTGTGTAGCGGTGGCGGTGATGACAATTTTTTTAATGATTTTATACTCCAACATTATAAATATTGCCTAAAGAGAATGGGGGTATTCGCTTCATTATTCAAGCAGAAGAAATTCTTCAGAGGTTATTTTTATCTAACTTTCTTTAGGTTACTATTGTCTTATCATTTTCAGATGTTGTTGTCTAATCATTTATAAACTATGATTGCCTCATCTTTATGAGCTATTGTTGTATATTCATTTTTGGGTTATTGTTGTCTAATTTTTTGTAGGTTATTTTAACATGATCATTTTTAGGTTGTTATTACATGATCGTTTCTTGGTTGTTGTTTCTTAATTTTTTAAGCTTTTATTGCCTATTTTTTAGCTAGTTTTTATCATATCATTTTCAGATTGATGTTATTTTATTATTTTAACTTGTCACCTAATTTTTTTAGGTTATTATTGTCTAGCCATTTTCAGGCTATTATTGCTTGATGGTTCATGGGCTATTGTTGCTTACTTT